TTTTTTTTCCCCTTTTATATATATATATATATATATATATATAATGTGCTGTAGGATATATATCCTACATTTAAAATAGGTGTCTATTTATCATTATATTTATTTTTTAGATGTTAAGGAGCTTTAAAATTTGCTTTATGAAATTGGTGGTGCTGGTTAGTCTAACAATTGTTTTTTTTTTTTTTTTTTTTTTTTTTTTTTTTTTTTTTTTTTTNTTTTTTTTTTTTTTTTTTTTTTTTAAGATGACCATGATGCTCTGAAATTCCTCACTTACAGCATGTATCCTCCCGGCACTCAACCAGTAAGTATTTCCAATCCTTGTTCTGAAATTGATACGATTTCCAATCCTTTTGAAAATTTGACGGATTTATTTTAATGAAATTGACGAACGATTTGATTAAAATATAAAATCATGAATGGAAGTTTTATATGTTCGTCATTTTAATGTTTTCTTTTCCTTGTCTCTTAGACTTCACAAAACATTGGAGATGCTGAAAAGGAGAAATTTTCTAAAGAATATGAAGAATATAAAGAGAAGTTAGAAAAGCAAAAAGAGGAGTAATTATCACTTTTATTCTCTTCATTGTGTATATTATTCTTAGCCACAGCATTAACAAAACACTAAAGCTAAATTTTACCGTTAACCAAAAAGTATGGCGTAGGCGCTAAATAAAGCCTGCCAATGTTAAAAATTCACTTCATTTTTATGTATATGGAAATTAAAAAATTATTTTTTTGGCTTAATCTTATTAATTTTTTAGCAATATTCAATTGAGCAATTGAAGCAATTCTATAATTTTAATTTGATTTTTTTGTCTGTAATAACATAATTCTTAAATAAAAATATGGCATATAATGAAGCTGTTTCTGTAACAAATTATTTGACAGAAGCTTTGTTTTAAAAAATATAAGTGTATAGTATAAGTGTATAAGTGTAAACATAAGTGTATGGTATGTGGTTATAATCGAGAGGGGAAAAGATAAATAACTGCCGAAAAAGCTATCTTAAGTAATGGAATGGTTGATAATTAACTGCATCAAATAGGATTACTCTAGTTCAAAATTGATCAATATGTTAAAAATATTTAAATTGAAAAAAAACCATGTGAAAATATGTGATCTGTTGATCAGAAAATACACGATATAATTAAATAATTCAATTGCTTACTATTTATGTTTGAATTCATGAACTTTTGTGTAGACATCTGATTTCGTACTCGATAGGTATCGCAAAGAGCACCCTGACGAAGCCAAAAGAAGAGAAATGGAATTTAATCCAGATGAGCAAGTCAGTATTTTGTTTCTAAATTCTTTTTGCTTTTACTTTAATATATTTAATTATATTTAGGAGAATAAGTTAGAATATATAGCCTAAATGTTCTCTTTCAAAAGAGAATATTGGTTCCCTTTTTTTTCCCCTTTTAAACATTACTATAGAATCTCAATTATCCCTAGTAATTGTAACTGTAGTATAGAAACCTGCTTAGAGTAGTCCATCATTCCATAGCTGCCAGATTTTTCTGAATTTTGTATCTCCCAGACAATGGAAAACTATTCAAATATTCTGTTGTTTCTTTTTATTATTTTTAAAGCATGAGACAATTTTTTAAAAATTTTGCAATATATATTACATTATTGAATATGTAAATTATATAACTTTCTGAATGGTTGAAATTTATAATTAGAATTATTTTTGAATGAAGACACGTTGAAAGTTTTAGAATTATTAGAATAAAAATAGTTTGAGCAAAAAGCTTTTGGTTCCATTCAAGAAAATGTATTAGATTTCTCTTCTAAGCCCAAAAAAGCAAAGTTAAGTCATAAATGCTAGGGAGAGGGTTAACTTTCAGTTATCAAAATTCAACAAAAATTTATTTTTAAAAAAAATTTACTTAGATTTTGATACTATTTCAAGCATTTTGATTCTCACAGCTTTTCCAAAATTTTTAATTTTGTGGTGTATCCAATGGTGCAGCTTTTCTGATTAAAATTTTTTTCCTTATTTGTTAAATTTTGAGGGCTCTACGTATCTTCGTCAAATTACGATTTCTATTTAATATGTTGTAAGTTTTCAAATATTGTTATTACTGATTCTGTTTTTGAATTTTAACTGATGAATGAATCCTCTTTTTTTTATATATATTTTTGTTTTAAGAAATTGTCAATTAGTGACTTAAAAAAGGAACATCTTTTCTTTTTCTTCAAACCTGCAATTAAGCAGAGCTGATTGTGCTCCGGAAAAAAATGCGGATTTTTCGCTAACCGCGATCCTTAAGTCCTGGTCCGCGAAGTCCAGAAGTTTCAAGAAATCATCAATCACATTTATGTATAAAAATTCTTGTATATTTTATTTAAAAAAACATAACTAGAATTTATACTTGGCATCTCTTTCATTTGTGAATATTTGCTGATTTCTTTCTATTTGCAATTTTTCATTACTCTCCATCTTTTCTGCCTAATATTGTGCTTATGTTTTTTCTTATGTGTGATTCACACCATTTGAGAGGGAACTTCATCTTTTCTGGCTAAAATTATCCTTTTTTTCCAGTATGAATCTCATCAGCAAAGAGAACTCCAGCAAATATTTCAAGGCCAGAGCTCCATATTTGAAATCTTAAAAGGTCTTCACAGAAAGATAGATGAAGTTATTGGAAGACAAGAGAGAGCACTCTCAATGCTTTCAGCTGTTTCAACTGGAGGAATTGGTAGAGTATTTTCTATTTGAATGCATATTTATTTGAAAATCAAACTATGTCTTTAATAAATTTTAGTATCCCTTATTTTCACAAATTCTTGAGAGCCGTACTAAATAGGTGTTTTCTGTAATGTCAGACCTGCCACAAATCTACTAAATTCTGCTTTTTTGTCTTTTTTCCATTATGAGATAAACTAACAATTCCTGTTTATTATATGTTTATATTATATACTAGGGACCTTCTCCAATTTGTGCATTGGCAGGAAACTTATGAATTCTAACAAATTTGTGGTTTCAGGATTTTTAGGACTGTTGATTTTATTATAAAGGAAGAGAAAAAAACTCCATTAAATAAAATTTTGTTAATATCTTATAAGGGATAACTGAGGTCATATACTTATTTAATATATTTTAAAAGATGAAATCACTTTTTGTATAATGAAGATTAATTGTTTTAACAATTTGATGTCTTTGTCCTGTTCTTTTAAAATAATTTGAATTCGATTAATTCATTGATCCCAGAATTTTTTTAATGTTTAGTTACATTTTAAGTTAGTGAAATGCTTTAATTAAAAAGATTTGTTCTGAAAAATTTGATCAGATTACAATTTTATAAAGAGAATATAAAATCTGTTAATTATTGTTGTTAGAAATGGTTCTAATCAAAAGGTCAAAAAGTAATGACATTTTAGAACAACAATCCAAAGAAACATGAATCTATTGAATATATTTATAAAATAAAATAACTTTGCATTTTCTTTGGTAAAATTACTTTTAAATAGTAATTTTTGCAATAGTTTAATTTGTAATTTTGAGATCTTGCTTCTAAACTTTTGTCTTATGCTGAAAGTTCATCTTTTTTTTCCAAAACTGTTGTGGCATGTCTAATCAGTATGAAAATCTAGCAATCTTTTTGAAGTTAGATACCATTCCAGAACTTTAACCATTATCTTCATTCATTTTTATTTTATATATATCCCATTATTTATTATTTTTTTTCTCTTTAAAATATCAAGATCTTGTCCTCAATTATTGCATATGTTTCTTTTCTCCAATTTCCATTAAGTAGATATAAATATGGGTGTGAGATGCTTTAAAACAATGAAAATATGTAATAAGGGTTTATTTGCAAATAGTTAAAAAATTTATTTTAAGTTTTTAAAAAAAATCCTTAGGTCATAGTTCATAGGAAAATAACATGAGAACAAGGTTGTGAAGCTTTTCGTGTATTTCCATGGTACCAGAGCAATCATTAATTCGAGTTTAATCACTTTAAAATTTTCATCTCACTTTTACTCATTTGATTAAATAAAAAAATAGGAATTAATTACAACTAAATAATTGTGTGAGTTTGTAAATGAGAGACTATCTACTAATCATATAAAATATTATAGATTTTCATTGTAGTCTCACTTTACCGGATTTCTTAAAACTTATCAAATACAGTAAGAAATATTCAATTATTTAGATTTGTCATTTCAAAAAATTTCGTTCATATCTTTATCATATGACTTAAATGAAATTAATTCCATTATCTCAGTTTTGATAAACAAATTGAATATAGGGACCACCTAATAATTATCGTCCTTTAGAAATGTTTCACAGTAATACTAACTGTATTTTTATTAGACAATTTCCCAAAATATTTCTTAAAAATTTTATTACAGAAATATTGAACTAAATTACATTTTAATAAAAATTTAAGAAGCCGTTTACTAATTTACAAAACTGTTTTTTGTTTTTTTAATTATAATTATTTCTTTACAAATTGTATAAAGTGAATTTAAAGAATAGAACTCAATTTTGAATATATTTCATATAGTGGATAAATTGTTTTTATGGTGGCTTCAAGAATGGTTTGCAAGAAACAAGTTATCATGATGATCGAAAATCTTAGATTTTTTTTAGATTCACTAATTTTATGTACTAAAATATGAAGAGATATTAATATAAATTTAAAATATGAAGAAGTTCCAATAATAGGAAAGAAAAAAAATTATTAGTTGTATAGCAAAATTATGAGAGTTAGAATTATGAGGCTTAGAACAATCCAGTAGTTACTTTCTTTTTGATTATTAACTGTTTATATATTTCCTTAAATTTTGTTTTAAAAAATTTTTAGCTTATGTTGATTATCCATTATTTCTTTTTGCATTTTCACTGTTAATTGATCATATTTTTTGTTAAATATTTTTAGCCCAGCATCAAGGAGGTCAAGGCATGCCACCACCACAAGTAGGAGGAGGCTTAAGTCGTCATGAAATTGAAGCTTTACTTGGAGGGCAAAGAGAATTAATCCAAACAGCTCGAGATACAAAGTAATTTTAAAATTTTATCTACTTAAAATTTTAAACTTCAGATTGATGGGTACCAGTTTGGCTGGAAAGTAAAGGTGGGCTGTGTGTAAAGTTGAGCACATTGCCACAATCATGCCATCTGTCATGAAATTGTGGTATCTTGACCCATAATGTGCTATTGCACAAAATGCTTTATTTCTTAGAAATTTTAATTAGTATTTCTTTCAAAAATGTTACTTTATTACTTAGCAAATTTTTAATTGTGAAATCTGGCACAAAATGTTTTAGTCTATCTTTGATTCTCCTGTACTTAGATTTTAAGTCTTCTGAAAGAAGGCTGCATCTCATCTTTTATACGTTGATTTAAAAAATAATAATTTACTGGTTAGTAACTAATTGTGTTAAATGACTTACTTCAAATTTTCAATCGAATATTTAAAACTAAACACTGAACTGATGTCAGTACTGAATTTTGTTATTTGTTTTGAGATTGAATAATATAGGGTTTCCTCCTACCTGTTTTTGCCATTTTTTACAGTACAGTTATTCACAATTGCATTAAAACTATGCCTAAATATTTGTTAGTGGTTTCTCTCCTTTACATTGATAGCAAAATCTTAGCAGTAAGACCTTTGCACAAAAGCATGTCAAAACAGAGTGACATTAGAGTTTGATGTTTCAACTGACTCGTAACTAGGACAAATTAGTACCAAAATTTCCTTTTTAATTGTGGTATCTCCATTAAAAAAAGGAAAACAACCAGGTTGCACATCTAAACTGATTTCAAAGTTTAGGATAATTTTTTATTCAGTTAAAAATAAATTCTAATTTTAAAGAACTAAGGACAAGAATATCAAAATTCAGATGAAAATTATTTTTTTCTGCAGTAATTAAACTACGATTTTAAACTCAAAGCTGAGTTTGTAAAAAAAAATCTGAGTTCTTTATATATGTGTAGCTTTTAAATTTAAATTTCCTTTTTAATCATAGTAGGGTGATTAAATGTATCACCATTAAATAAAGGTACAGCAAGCAGGTTGCATGTCCAAGCTGATTTCCAAGTTAACAGTTGAAGGGTTTATACTGTTTAGGCTAACTTTTTTTAAAGTTAACAATAAATTCTAATATTAAAGAATGAAGGACAAGAATATCAAAATTCAAATGAAAATAAATTTTTTTCCCACTGCAATTACACCTAGATTTTAAACTCAAAGCTGAATTGATAAAAAGAATCCAACCCTGTGAGTTCTTTGTAGCTATTAGTGTAGCTTTTAAATTTTGAAAACTATTCAGTTTTTCTTTGTTATGTAACAGAATATACAATTAATATGTTTGTGAATTGTTCCAGGTCTTTCCTCACTGATATTCATCAAAAAACTGGGACAATCATTGCAAAACAAAGTGAGATGAAGCCATCAGGGGGAGGAGGTATAGCCTTTGAATCACAGACACAATTCCAGGATATAAAAGATTCCCTAAACCATGTCAAAAGGGAGCTTGCTACCATGGCTGCTAAAACACAGGTAATTTGGTTTATCTCTCACTTACTTTCTACCAGTTGACAATGTAATTTCTGGATGCTATTAGGCAAAATTAACTGTTTTGCAACAGGGTGATTAAATGTAACAAATGGTGATTCAAAATCATTTGCCAGTCGTCACCTGATTACCACTTTTTTAATCTAAAAATGCACTCCATATGCACATTATTTTTTTATAAATATAAAATTATTGAGAATATTTTATATCTTAAAATTTATTTAATTTCAGATCAAGTCAAAAATATAAGAATAAACATAGAAAAAAAATGAAGATTTTCCAAAGATGAAAAAAATTATTAAATTTTTTAAGAATTCACAAATGTTTTTAAAAAAAAAAATTAAGGAAAAGATATAATCTCGCCACCAGTCTACACAACCATATTTAAAAAAAATAGTGCTCTCCAATACAGCCAAAGCAAATCACATCAATACAACAGTGTGAAGAGCACCAAAGAAAATTTTCTTTTGTCCTTTTTGTCTCTAATATATTATCAGCTATAAATATTTTTTTGTATTAAAACTAATAGAATTCTACATTTATGCTGTCTTAGTCATACCTTTAGAAATAACGAAATGACAAAATTTTGATCTCCATCAGCTCTATTTAAAAAAAAAAATTTTTAATCAATGATTACCAAGTTGCTACCAACTTAAATGATAAATAAGGATAAAACTTATACTCCACGAATAATGAGCTTACTCCATCTCTGAACAGTTTTTAGACACTTTTTGGTCAAACAAGGTTAGACAAAACTTGATGTAAGTTAGTTCCAATTTGTGGTTGCTAAAATTTTATTTCGTGAATGTAAGCCTAAATATATGTGTATTTTATTGTTTCAAACAAAGTTATTAAATTACAAACATCAAAAATTATTACATTAAAAAAATCATTTATGAAAGCAAGCAAATGTCATACACAAAAATCATTAAAACTCCTCTTTTATAAAAGAGATAGGACAGTCAAATAAATAGTCGAATAGAATAATAGAATAGATTTTATGATTTCACTAATATAAAGATTAAGTAACAGAAATACTCATTCACTAAAATGTCAGTTCATATGTGTGTGTAATTTAAGAAACTTTTTGTCCAAAAGTTTTTTCTTGAATTAATAATGTGGAAAAAAAATTTGATAAATCCAAAATGATTACTAGTCAACAGTACTGAATTGGGAAAGAACCAACAGCTTAAAGAGATTCTCAATTTTTTTTGTAATTATTTCCCCATTCAAAAATTTGAAATCATGGTTTATTAATCTTAAGATAAGAATGCTGATTGAATAGCATATGCTCAGTTCAGAGTTATTTTCATACTAATAACAAATCAAAATAGAACTAATAAAATTGAAATATAGTATTTCTGTATAAAATGAAATAGTTCATGTTAAAAAAAATTATTATTGAATCAAAAATAAATTTTCTATGCTCATTACTTTATTTCTATGCTCAACTCCCACAATTCTCATATTTAGAGATAGCTAATCTGAGAAGGGCTCTTTTGAGTTGCCTTCTCTATTGAAAAGGGGAATAAATCAAAGTTTTGTAAACTTATTTCAATGCGTAAGAGAGGTTCAAGTGTATGATTGAAGCTGACTGGTTGAATTCTTATCTCATTCAATACCTAATGCAATCTCTATCCTGAAAGGGTGATTAAGTATAGTAGTTTTGTGTCTAACCATATGAGTAGTAGGACGATTATCTATTTATTGTAGTAAAATACATCTTAAATTAATGTCATAAAAATTTCATCTTTAGAAGAAATTTATTAACTTCTCTATTTCAAAGAGGATATTCTCAATCGTTTTTTTTTTATCTTCTTTACTAGGGTGGACCATGTCCTGTTGTTCAACCTCAGTCATGCCTTTCCCCCAGCATTTTCTTCATATTCATGGGTGTCCAATTAGTCATACTCATCGGCTACATTACTTACCAGTAAGTATTCCTCTTCTTTTTCTCTTTCCATCAAACTTCTTATTTTTGTACTCTGGTTGAATAAAAGATTTGGATCAAGTTGGAAATAACCTCTTCTTTTTCTCTTTCCATCAAACTTCTTATTTTTGTACTCTGGTTGAATAAAAGATTTGGATCAAGTTGGAAATAACTCCATTTCTCCCTCATTATCCTATTACTAACTATTGACTGCATAGCTGGCAACTGTTACAATTAAATCATATTTGTAACGATTTTTTAGCATTGTTTCGAAAATACGGTTTTTGGTAAAAGTGTTCTGATTTTTCGGTATTCTAGCATCTTTTCACTCCTTATGCCGATTTTCTTTCAACCCAGGGCAGGTCTAAAAATTAGAAGCAGGGCATGTGATTTTTCCGCAATTATCGTGGAATTCTGCTTATCTCTAGACCATTGGTTAGTGGACTTTAAAAGTTACGCCTTGCGATTCGTTTTCACACAAATTAAAAATTGTACATCGCGATTCCTATTCACGCAATTTAAAAATCCGATATCCCGATTTGAATTTACGTATTTTTAAAATCCCAAAATCTAGATTCATATTCACGCAAGTTTAAAATCTAATGTTATGATTCATATTCACGCAATTGTAATATTAAACATCTAATTTCGTATTTATACATGATTATTCATATTTGCACTTTTTAAAAATCCAAATTCGCAATTCATATTCATGTGATTTTAAAATTTAGTATGGCTATTCATATTGAAGCAGTTTTAAAGTCCAAGGTGGCGATTCTTGTAAGGCACAAGTTTTTTCTCGAATTAATTTATATGAAGGTGTGATATTCTTCATTAGTAAGTAATTTAATTAAAACTTCATATTTACGTGTTTTAAAAATCCAAAATCATGGTTCATATTCACGCAATTTTAAAATTTAATATCGCGATTCATATTCATGCGATTTTAAAATCTAATATCGCGATTCTTGTAAGAAGTAAGATTTTTCTTGAATTAGTTACCATGAAGGCGTGATATTCCTCATTAGTAAGTAATTTAATCAAAACTGTTAGCTGAAAAAATTACGTTAAGTGTGAAACTTGTGTGGTTTATAAATTGCTATTTCGATATTAACATTTTGACTTTTGAAACTTTGTTTTCCTCTTTGTGTCATAATTACCCCCGATTTGCTTTTAACAAGCTGGCAGCTATGTTAACTGTAACATTTATAAAAAAAATTTAAAATAATTGACAAATCTCTCAGACTACATTAAGCCGATTAACACTGTTATAAACCTAGCAGTTATTTTTTCTTTTATTTTCACAGGAGCAACAAAGAATCACAAGCGAAGAAGTTTTATTAGGTAGTAGATATTTTTTTAGTTTTCCAACATTCCAAGTGAGAAGAAAACAAAATTAGTCACATCCTATTGGATTGTGTACATGGTTATTTGTTTGAAGAGATGTGGTGTGAAAAGACTGATGTTGGATGCATTCAAGCTCATACATATTTCTGACGTATACTTAATGAAGTAATTATTGAGAAACAAATTGTACAGTTACTTGTATATTAACTGAAAATTTTATACTTTTCTTCCCTATTTAATTATTGTGTTAAAAATAAATGTAACATCTTGTAAACTGTATTATCCCTCAACAGTCTAGAAGTATTTATATCACCAAGTATAATTATTTAAAATAAAATTGTTTTTATTACAACAATGAAAGTAATAAAACAATTGGCCACCTTATACATGATTTTAAACACTGTAAGTATGAGTATCATGGTGGTAAGGGTTTATTAAAGAATCAAATTCATATTTCTGGCTGACTCTATTTTTTTATTTGAAAGAATCGAATAAAAATAGTTTTAACTCTTGCAACATAATTATTTCTAAACTATACTCTTGATCATTATTTTTAACATTTCAGTCTTCAGACTGTGTTGTAAAAACTACACATCGTGTTATTACAATGCATCCTATTATTGTTCAAGTAAAGTTAGACAATACAGCCTATTATTGTTTAAGTAAAAATATCTGATTTTCATTGACGGCAATTAGTTGATTTTAATTTTGTCAAAAGAATTACAAAAAGCTTCACAAAAATATATATTTGTCACATATTATGTAAAGTCATATTTTTAGGTAAATTTCTTTTTTACTTTGTAAGCAATTTCTTGTTTGTTACATAAAATCGTTACAATATTTCCTATGTTTTTTGTTTCTGCAGGCATCCCAACATTTAAAATATATATCTATTTATGAGTAATGTGGCATATTATACTAAAAATAAAATTAAAAAAAACATGAGTAACACATTTCCCCTGATTAAAATTTCAGTCCAACTGATAACTCTTATGCATACTTCTAATTAACAAATGTTCCAACTATCAAAATAAAAAAACGCACATTTTCTATTTCTTAAATAGTTTATATTCTTTTTGCTTGACTCTATGATTGAAAACATTTGTACCCTATTTTGTTTATTTAAGTGTTCTATAGATTTACCTTGTATTTTATATTTTTTCATTGGCCAACTATTAACAGTATTATCTGCTTGTTCAAAGTAATATTGTAATATTTTTGAAAGAATCACAAATATTTATAACATATCTGTATTTTCTCTGTCATTCTTACATTTGCCTATGTTCCTCTAAATACATTGAATTTCTGTTAAAAAGTTTAGTGTGCATTGTATTGTGCTATATGTAAAAAGTTAGTTGCTATGTAAAATATTTCTCTTTCAGCTGTATGTTAATTTGAGATGTTAGTAAATATGCAAATTGGTCTTAATTATAATGCAATTGTGTTAATTACTGCCAGTTTTTCTAGGTTTTAATGTATTTCAGAAAATTTATTTAATTACATTAAATTAAATGCATTTAAGGAATACATTAAATACACAGAAATACAATTAAACTTCATAATAGTTTTTTTGCTCTATTTATTGCTTGTTTGAGGATTTTAATTAGTGCTGTGCACTGCTCAATTTAAATGTAAATGCTCAATATAAAAGAGTAAAAAATTTAATATAACTCAATCAGAAAGTGAATGCTATTTCATTTATTATAGTCACTTTTTTATTATCAGAATTGTAAACAATTGAAAGACTAATATAAAGATTAACTACACTTCTTGAGAAGTGACATATTTACACCAAACTGCTCCTTTATATCCAGATGCTTACTCTACTAGTTTCCTAAATTTCTGTTAAGTGACAGCTAAATACATGGAAACACTTTGCTTTTAAGGAAATACACCTAAAATATTAGAAATTGTGGCTTATTAGACTGCATCAAGCCTTTCAATTGTTATTCCACCCTTAATTATACTCATAAACACCTTTTGGTTTCATCCGTGTAAGAAACTTGTAATTTTGTTATTGAATTATCTTTTTTTATTTAATTTTGAATTGTAATCCTTCTTGTGTTGCTGCTAATTATTTTATTTTTAATAAGTAAAAAAGTCTATTTTGCATTATGCCAAGTGCATTATATGATCTTATAAAATTTAAAAAAATATTATTGTAACTGACAGAAAAAAAAATTTCTTCTAGACCAGTGCTACGACTAAAGTTTTCTTTTTTTGGTGTGTGTGTGACTTGAGTATGCAATCTACCATTTTAAGTCCTTTCACTGAAATATATCATTTTTTAAGAGACCTTAAATGACAGAAAAAAATGTAGAGCTTACAAATATATATACCGTACTCCAAACAATTTTTAGTTAACTGAACAATAAAAACTTATAATTTACCAAAAACATGTAACTATTTTATCAATTATTTTTTACAGATGCCAACTTCTTTTTATATAAATATTCTTTTTTTATTATTATGGGTGTGGTTATTTTGATAATTGTTTTACATTGATGAATTAAAGATTGTGAAACAGTATATCATCGCAAAAACTCTCATTGAAATACAGTGTTACTGATTTTTCATGTTATAAGATTTTATTAAAATGTTTCTTAAAAAAAAATATTTTTGTTTTGCTTTGTCCTATTCCCACTCATTTAAAAAAGGGAGGGGGAAAAAAACAAAAAAGTTGTGATCGCCTTATTACGATCACTGGTTACTAGGACTGGGCTATAAATCGATGTATCAAGACATATCGATTTAACGCATATATCGGCAAGACGATACAGCGGCTTTCATTCAAGGCGATGCATCAGAAATCTGATTTAAGCCGTCGAGTAAAGACAACGAGCGCAAAACGATATAAGAAAGCGATATACGACTCTTCTCTTGCGTTCCGTTGTCGACTCGCGGTGTGGAAGATGATGTTGATTGGTGAGCTGTAGAATCAGAGTTTTGAGAACACATATCGTTATGTCGCATGTTCCTTTTCGCACCTCTTGGCTTTTTTTTTTTCTTTTGTCGCGACTTTTCTTGTAGATTATTTTCAGTGGGACTAACCTCGTGATCGCCGATATTACCTTGTTCTGAAGGCAATCTATTATTGAAAAGAATATATAAAGAAGAGTTTCTTCATTAATTAGATAAGTTTTTTTTTTAAAAAAACTTTCTATTTTTAAATGTGAAAATTATCGGCAATCTGATTTAGGCATCCATAAAGAATTGAATTTATTAGGTTATTTTTTTTTACTTTCTTTTAATTTATTAAAAACTTTTTGGATGAAACTTCTAATAATTTAATGAGTTTTTATTACTGATTTTAAATTTATAAATCTTGTTGTTTTTATTTTTAGAAATAAAGTTAAAACAAAATTTATTTTTGTCATTTGGATTTGGACATAAGTCAATCAACTTTGTTTATACAAAAAAATTTGAAAGGTTTGCGTATTTTATTCATTTTTTTAAATCATTTAGCACTTCGTTTTATTAGAGAGTATAATAATTTTTTTTAAAAAATATTCTTTTCATATTATTTGTTAATTAGCTAAATATATTATCGAATATCACAATTTTTTTATTTTTAAGAAATTAAATCTTACTTTGTTTTTCGTTCATAATTCGGTCATTATTTAATTTAATTTAATTATTTATCTGAAATGATAAGGTCCCGCAGTGGACTGATCGTTAAGACACGGTTCCCTGCAGATCACCGAAGTCAAGCATCACTGGCTGCGGTCAGTGTGCGGGTGAGTGACCACTTGGATCAGTCTGCGTAGGGACCGAGGGTGTGCGGTATTGGTCCTCGTTAAACTGTTCTACCGTAAAGTGCTCGACTTCGCGTGCAGGTCGTCGAGCTACCGAAGCGGGGGTGCCATCCCATCTGCAGAGGATCAAAATTGTGATGGCATGTCTTCGGATCATCCTCAGGGATGTTTCCCAGACCGTCGCCAATAGCCCATTGTGCAGCTCTAGTGTGACGTAAATGAACTATAATAGAACTATAATAACTGAAATGATAATAATAAAAAATAGTGTTTTAAAAGCGTTTTTTTTTTCTAAAATTTATTTAGCACTTTGTTTTAAACATACAAATAATTTTTAACGTTTCATTTAGAAATTGAACATTACGATCGAACTTAATAATTATGAAATTATTTATGCATTAGTACAAGAAAATATTAATTTGGAAAAAACGCTTTAAAAAAAGTTTTTAACACTTTGTTTTACGCGTATTATGAATTTCTAAACAAACATTTCAATAAATATTTTAAGTAAGATTTGTACATTGTAGTCAATTTATTTAATATCTTTCTTAAGCAAAACATATATATCTTCAAATTTATAAATTGATTTAAATCAATCTGAGTATGAAGTTTTGATAGAAATCTGACTTTCTGTGCCTTACAAGTAAATGAAATTCAAAAATACTATATCGCTATATTGCGATGCATCACGATATATAATTTCTAATATCACCCAGTCCTACTGGTTACCCATTGATTAAATGCTTTTTCTTTCTGGTTTGACTCCGTTAAACGCAGCAGCATTTCAAATCATGGGCTGCAAAAACTGTTTGTTGTTGGATTGATTTTCATATCCTGCCTATGTATACGTGTTTCAAGACGTCACAAAATACTTTTCCTTCTTCAGCATTCATATTTATATTAAAATCACCGTCAGTTATTATATGTTAATAATGAAAAGAATATAAAAATACTAAATTATTATGTAAATACATTAAAAATGCCTGCTAGTGAAAAGAAAAACAGCAGCGGCCGCCATAGCAATGCATGCAATGACGACGCATGGGTAAAAACAATACACTGGATAAGTCATAAAAGTACTTTGGTGAAAGTGGTTTAACGTGATTTTACACAAGTACCACTGAGGCTAATGAACCCTGTTTAAGTTTGATTGGTTTAACAGTTGGTGCCTTTTCCTTGCTGCAATCACAATTATTTAAAAGTAAGCTAAATTAAAGAAAGAGAAAATACACTTGAATGAGTTTTTTGTTATTTATATTGTAAATAATTGGAATATATCACTTTTATACCCAATGATTGTTATTAATGTTTGCTTGTCGGATGTACAGGGTATCCGCGCACCTGAAAAGTCATCAATTTCAGTATTGAACAAAATCTGTCATGATTTTAAATATTTTTTTTTTAAAAAATCATGACAAGTCATGAATTTAGGTCACCGAAAAATCTAATTTTTAAAATGGAATTTAACTCCCTCTCCGCAATTTTACGGTGTTCCGAATATCTGAATTTGTAACAAAATCAACACTCAAAAGTCATATTTTATTAAAATATAAAAAGTTTTTATCATGTTCTTTAAAAACTATGGTGTTCTTTCAAAAAAATGAAGGAAAAAACATTATTTCTAGAATGAAGTACTTTTTAAATTTCAGTTATTTCGGAATTATTATTATTTATTTTATCAATTTAATATTCTAGCTGCAGCAAGGCAGTCATTGGCAATTTTTTTTTTTTTTACTCCGAAATGAGAACAGAAAAATCAGGAGTATTTCTTTCCTTTCTGATAAACAGGAAAAGTATATTTAGAATACAATTCTACAGGGGGGAAAAAAATAATATTTACTCAGCTATTTTATTGCTTCAACTCTTTCTTTACTCTGTATTTTTTTTTCTTTTAATTTAAAATCAATAAATATGAAGATGTAGAGTATAACAATTTTGGTTCTACCTATCATTTTAATTAATATTATTATAATGCTTTTTAAATTTATTATTCTGTTTTTGTCGGAGAAAATAGTAACTTCGTTAAGTCATGAAAAGTTCATGGAATTAGACATGAAAAGTCATGAATTTGAAAATCTAGAATGTAGCAGATACCCTGGATGTAGTTTTTCATGCTGAATTGACTGAGATAAAATCAAAGTTGTTGAAATAAATAGCGTTGAAATTATAAGGAACTTTTCAATAATAAGTATGACTCAAAAAATACTTTTTATATATATATAAAAAAACTACTACAACGTTTGAAATTAGTCCTTTTGGTTTCTGTTAGTTTATATTCGATTAAGGGAGGAAAAAAATACAGATTTAAACAAGACCTCACTTGTCTGTATAGCAACATGATATCTGTATACAAGTGCAAGTACAAGATTTATCTTATTGATTCCTGTTATATCTCCATCAATTCAGCATAAAAAAGTACATCAGTAAATTTTCCTTACCTGTTCAGACAGCTTCTACTTAGCAATGTAAAAAATGCACATAAGTACATGTCAAAATAAGTTCTTTTAATACACAAAAACCCTTTTAAATTTTGAGCTATCCATTCTATTGACTTGAGTATAATCTCGTTCTATGCAGTGTGAAAAAAATATAAAGGAAACAAAATACAGTCTGACCTCGATATAAGGTCACCCCAAGGGACATCGCAACTCAGGGTTCGAAAAACCGTCCGCCCGTCCTCGACGGTCAAAAATTCCCCGCGGACAACGAATTTCTCGAATCCGACGTCCGCGCGGACGGTCATTCTCCCGTTAATGTTCGTGATACATTTTCAATTTTTGTTATCCAATAAAGTCTACCGCCTCACTTCTAAAATGACCCTCTAATCTAGATATACAGCAATATATGGAGGAATTGATGTTTAGACANAATTTATGCCATTCCTTTTTCAGTAACGTAAGTTACCACACTAGTTTTAGATTTTTACACTACTTAAATTGAAAAATATTAATTATTCTAATTAGGTTCCTTTTGGTTTTGATTGTAATTTTAAGAAATCACTTTATTTTAGATTGTATATTAGTATTATTTGTTTGCTTCTAAGCTCTCAGTGCAATAAAGTTTCTGTGAATGTAACGTAAGTTACCATGGAATAGCCCTATTACTGTATAATGTAATCCTTGTATTTGTAATCCTAGTAACTACTAATTCATTGTGCAATTTATATAAATGTTTGTAATAAATAAGAAAAAATGAGATTTTTAATTATTTAGAAGCGACGGGTTAGTTTTAAAGGAGGACGGGTACATTGTTGGACAAGCCGTCCTCAGAGACGGGTAAAATTTCGGAGTTTTTTCGAGCCCTATCGCAACTCATAAGCGGGGTGACCTTATATCGAGGTCTGACTGTATTACTCTTAAAATAGCAATGTCAGTTGCGTAATTTGTGCCTTTTTTTTAAAAAAATAAAACCCTTCTAAACTATTCGTCAGACAGACTAAAAATTAGTTTCATCCAATTTAGTGCAAACAAAATAGATAAGAAATGATGACTCAAGCCAAATGAACACCAAGAAGCTCCATTGCTTTTTTAGTTACACTATTCAGAGCAAGATTATGGCTACTCCTTACAATTTAAGTCAAAAATAGGAATCCGTTTTTAAAAAAGTGCCTTTCTAGAGAAAGTACTGTAAAAGTCCTTTATAACAAACTATTCATTTATTATGGGCCATTATTTTGATTTAAAATACAATACAGATCTATCGAATAGACTGTTGTTGTCTAAAGATTCTGGAAAATTGCATAGATACGTAGCCTCACACCTTATAAAAGACAAATTTCTAGAACATATATACATATATGTTTGAACAAGGTTTTGTAAAAAGAAGGGGAAAAAAAGAGAGCAAATGCCTTTTGATGTTATTAATAGCAGTGTGAATGTTTATTTTAATAACAAGTTGTAATTTAGGGAAACAAGGAGCATGATAAATGGTAACAAAGGTGCATTTTTTTTTTTTTTTTGAAGTACGAATTTAAAAAGTGGCACTCAATTTTTTCTTTTGTTGGGAAGAAAATAATATATTTTATGAAGTCTGTTTTTATCTCACTTTTTTGTAATCACATTTTCGTTTCAATTTAAATAAATAAACTGGGTGATATCTCCTCCCCTCTTTTTTTTAAAACCTAAACCAAGAGTAAGTTCCCTATTTACATAATTTCCACCTCCCATTTAGAAATGCGTAAATGGGATGTGGAAATTATGTAATTAGGGAAGTTAGAATCCCATTAAAAATACTTAACCGCTTTAATCCTGCAATCAGCCTCTTACTGGAGAGGGGGTGTTCCTGGGCAAAATACCTCAAGAGTGTATTCTCCTTGTAGGGTCACCCAAGGAGTGAAGGCCGTTCCATTAGGCTCAGCTAATGACTGTAGGTAGGAGAATTTTGAGGTTTAGTCAGTCTTCAGGCCACGAGGCTCCTCAATTAAATGAACCGTGAGCCAAGAACCAGTCGCTTTGTCCATTGCGCAGTTATAAAAAAAAATTCTTTGTGCCTCCCACCAGTTTATAACTGGTATGCTGCAAAGGTCTGGGCCTGTCTCTTACACAGTGGCCCCAGGATTCTACAATCGGCCTTGGCAAGATTCAGAAATGGTCAATTAATTGTTTAGGAGCATCATGGTGGCAGCTGACGGGGCTTTTGAACCTGGTGTAGGCTCTCCTACACCTGGGATGTTTAACAACAGCAACAGAAATGCCCAATTTTAAAGAAAGGAAAAGTTGGTCTGTAGAGTTTAACATTTGAGTGTTTTAAAGCGAAATAAGAATATATAATATTGAAAGCATTACTTTTTAAATAAAAATTCGATATTTTTCTGAAAATATAATTTATTAAAACAGACCTGAGTCTGCTTAACAGCAATAAACAATTTTTCTTTTTAACAAAATATGACCTGACACAATCAAAAGTATTTAATAAGGAATGTTACTTCTTTTCAGCCATTAGTGCTTCGATTTCTTCAACGGTTCGTGGCACATCTGTCATCAACTCCATACCATCTTCAGTTATTACAATATCATCTTCAATTCGCACCTAAAAATTATACAATTGTTTGTTCGTATTTTTTTTTATTTATGATAAAACTCTGGATTGAAGACGGTCAGACCAAACGTTCCCTATAAGTTGGACATTCTCCAGGCCTAATGAAATTCACTAACATATTTCCGGAATAAAATTTTAAAATAATTTTACAGAATTCCATCCAACTAAACTTAGCGAAATTTTAATAATTTAAGTGGAAATTAAGATATATATATTAATTTTTAAATAACATTGGTTTTGCATTGAAAAATTTTTTAAATATGATTTCCATTCGAAATATAATTTCAATTTGCAATGCACGTCTTAGCTTATATTCTTAGCTCAGAGGATATACATGTGGGGAAATAGCTTTTCCGTAGAAGAGTGTTCAATTGAGATTTCTTTTTAATTAAAGGGTCACCACTATTGGAAAACTTCAGATTTTCTTTGATAGAAAAGATTTTTTATGTATAAAAATGATTTCTAAATAGAATTTATGAAATCAATTATTTTCAGGGACCTAGTTACGAGAATGGTTAGCAGCTAGTCCTTTCTACCCAAAAAAGATAATGACAAAAAACTTATACTCACCCCACCGAATCCTCTGAATTTTTCAATAACGTCTGGCACGAGGAATTTTGCTAGTTTTGGATCGTTCAAAGCTTTATCCAGCAACTAAAACAATAACAGATTGATGACATTACAAAATTAAAGAATAAAAAGAAACAGTAAACAAAATGTATCATAGAATGTTAATAAGTGGGTTCAATTACACACCCTGTTAGTCATAAATGGAAAAAACTCTTTCAAGAAGAAATATCTTATATTGAAACAATTTAAATAGTTAATAATAATAATTTAGTTTATATAATAGAGTAATATCCAAGCATTTAATATGTCATTTTAGAGTCAGATATTTAAAATTCAATATCAAAAGAATAATTTTGTATTCTTTAAAAGCTAGTTTGACTGTATCTGGTTTAATAATACAGAAATATAGTATATATGGCATGAACTTTACTTTTAGTTAAACCAGAGTGCATAGCCAAATCTTTAACAAAAAATAAGTACTTTTTAAGCACTCAAAAAATATTTTTAAGCACTTTATACTTTGACAAAATGCAAAATAATTTTCAAAGACTTTATATGATCATGATAAAATAACTAGTTTCTTGATTACATTAGCCATTATAAAATAACCAAGAAATTTTTTGGCTCGATAACAGAGGGTGGAAAATGAAGCCTGAAATAGAGAATATCTTGCAAAATACAGCAGAGTTGAACATGAGAGTGCAATAAGCTCACCGAACTCAGCTCAGTAAACGCACCTACGGACTCGCAAGTATTTCATCAAATATGTAAAATGTTTGACGCTTTCATACGCTATGGACCAACGGTACACCAAAATAAATTGTAGTTGAATGAATAGTGAAAATGTTGAACAATGTGAAAAGCACGCTTTTGCATAATGTGAGTCGAAAATCGACATGGTAAAGGAAAAAAAATCTCTTTTTGGAAAAGGGAAAATTAAGCACTTTTTAAAAACATTCAATGAAAAAAGCACCTTTAAGGGCTTTTAAGAACAAAAATTGAAAATAAGCACCTTTAAGTACTACTACTTTTTAAAAACGCTACGCACCATGGTTTAAGGCATACTAACTATGATAGTTCTATGCTTTCCTTTGCATAAGAATTTAAAAGTTAAAAAAAAAATTTCAAAAACTTTTTATGCACTGAATAAAAATAATCTAAGGCAGTTGTTTTGATACCCCTGCAGTTGAATGTAGCATTGTTCTTTTTAAAATGTTGAAACTAATATGAGTATAAAAATTCTTTCATCTTACACAGTCAATGAAGTATATCCCTGGCTCCACTGTTATTACCATACCAGCAGCCAAATCTCTGGCGGTACGTAGACTCTTTAATCCGTCCTCGGCTGGTCGTGGGGGTGAACCCTAAAAAGGCAGAGAAAATATTAAGGGTGCACAGCATTCCTTGGTTACCGATCAAAAAATTTATTGTGAAAAATACATAACTATCATAAAATTTTATAACTGTCTTTTAAATCAATTTCAATGTACTATGAAAAAATATCAAAATGATGACCTTAAAATTCCAAAATGAAGAGGTTAAAATTCAATGAAACACAAGACAAATAATTCAGCATTTTCATTGTTTCAGTAGAACATTTTAGTTAACCAAAACATGTTCAAGACAAATTTTGTTTCAAGGTTTTTTTTTATATTAGAAATAAAAGTTTGAAAAAAGTAAAAAGAAATTACAAAATGAATTTTTCCTCTTAGAAAATTGAAAACCACTATTGAGTTTTTTAAAGATGACCAAGTAAGAAAAAATTTGAATGGTTTTTATTTCAAAATGTTATACATATACTATGTCCTTTAATTCTTTAAAATATATTGATCCTTTTGTTCTAATGACACAAAGAAAAAATTAATTAGTTATCAATTGATATAAAAACTGACTTCTTTTTCTAAGTTACTCTGTGGTTGTGGGTTGTGTGCCCATTAATCCCTTGACATATCATTTCTTGATATAGAAATGATCCTTGATTGAACTGCAAACAACAACTCGCAACGAAATGTTGGCAGAGATGCCAACTGCTCCGGACATGCCAAAATAATTTTAAAAAACGGTAAATAACTACAAACTAACTTTTGCAAATATTTGACTATTTATGCTTGCTTTTTAAAATGTATAGCATGACATAACTACTATAAAGTGGCAAATTATATAAGCCTACAAATTATTTAGAAATAGTGGTGGATAAAATAAATTGAATTTATTAAACCAAGAACCACAATTGATAAACTGCCACTTTAAAATATTTATTTGCTGTCCGGAGCAATTTGGCATCTCTGTGTAAAAGATGCCTGAGACACGTCAATTATTGTTTTGACATAAGAAACAAATGACGTCTTCATATATCAAGGGGTTAATATGCTTAAAAACATGTAATACTAATCCCTCATTTTCCAGCGCTTTCTTCACGCCGTTCATAAATCTGTATTTTAAAATTAGTAAACTTACAACACACATAAAAATTGAATAATTGAAAGTAAATCAAGATTATCTTTAAATAAAACGGGGCAGGGGTGATTGAGAGCTCAACTCGAAAATCCTGAAAATTTCTTGAGCAAAATCCTTAATGACACATTTAAAAAAAATTATGTCTTTATAAATTTAAATCACTGATATTTTCTAAAACAAGAACTTCTAAAAAAATTATATGCAGCATAATTTAAATGAATAATTATGTATAAGTTTACTTTTATCACTAATCGCATTTATTATTCTACCAGAAAAAATATTTGCAAATGAAAGAGATGCTAAGTATAAATTCTAGCTCTAATATTTTTAAATAAAATATACAAGATTTTTTATACATAAATGTGATCGATGATTTCTTGAAACTTTTAGAGCTTGGATTTTCGGATAACGGTTAGTGAAAAATCCGGATTTTTTCCGGAGCACAATCGTCTATGACGGGGCAAATAACAAAGGTGGTTCTTTGTGGTCAAAAGAATGCAATTTAAATTTTCTAAATCCCTCATTTTCCAGTGCTATTTTCACACAGTTCATAAATCTATTTTAAAATAAGTAAACTTAAATAATATTACAATTGAGTCAAAATTTCGTATGATTATTTCTATTCTATAAATTCTAAAATAATAATGAATTCAGATAATGAAAATACATAAACCTACTTCAAGATAACCTCCTACATCATGAGTATCTATTCCCATAAAGTGACCTAAACCGTGGGGCATGAAGATCGCTCCCAAGCGAACAGACATCATTTCCTCAATATCTCCCTTCAGCAAACCACCTTTTTTCAATTCTTCCAAATGAACCCGATCAGCCAACTTATGCATCTCAACCCAGTTCACACCTAATTAAAAAATACAGCAATAATTAACATACATTAAAATATCAGTACTATACAAAACAAATGACATTTCTAAGCAGTATTGTACATAGCATGGTTGTTTGTGCAACAGAGCTTAAAACGAGCAGTTGTCCATTGGTTCAAAACCACTTAAATCCAACTTGAACTACCATGAAATAATTATCAATGGTCCAGCAATTGATTTCAGTCAACTGAGAGGATGCTATACAGGTCTTTATTTTGATTAGTGTTTTTGTCACAAAACGACCTTCCCTACAGTTGTGAAAATTATTTTTTTTTTTAATTTCACCTTTTATATTAAATTTAATGCATTAATCTAATCAAAGTGAATATGTAAAATATAATATGCAAAATATAATATAATATGTAAAATATAAGGTGAACATGTAAAATATAATATGAAAATGCAATTTGAACTACCATGAAATAATTATCAATGGTCCAGCAACTGATTTCAGTCAACTGAGAGGATAGTATACAGGTCTTTATTTTGGTTAGTGTTTTTGTCACAAAATGAGCTTCCTTATAATTGCAAAAATTAATACATATTTTTTTTTTAATTTTGCCTTTAATATTAAATTTAATGCATTAATCTATTTAAGGTGAATATTTAATATAATATGCAAAATATAATATATGTAAAATATGATATGAAAATGCAATTTGAACTACCATGAAATAATTATCAATGGTCCAGCAACTGAGATGATGGTATACAGGTCTTTATTGTTGTTAGTGTGTTTGTCACAAAATGACCTTCCTTATAATTGTAAAAATTAATTTTTAAAAAAATTTTAATTTCGCCTTTAATATTAAATTTAATGCATTAATCTAATCAAGGTGAATATTTAAAATAGAATATGCAAAATATAATATAATATGTAAAACATAATATGAAAATGCAATCTGAACTACCATGAAATAATTATCAATGGTCCAGCAACTGATTTCAGTCAACTGAGAGGATGGTAAACAGATCTTTATTTTGGTCAAGGTTTTAGTCACAAAATGACCTTCCTTAAAATGGCAAATATTATTATTTTTTTAATTTCCCTTTTAATGTTAAATTTAATGCATTTATTTAATCAAGGTTAATATGTAACATTTAACTACTTTATAAAAACGTTATGATAAAATGCCAATTTATATAAAGCTCCATTCGCATTTCTTCATTAGTTTAAATTCATTACTCATTAAATTCATGTACTCATTAAATTTATTATTTATTTTACATTTATAAATCTTTTAAAAACAATTCAATCATGTATGTGAGAAAACCAATGAAAATTGTGTACAAACAAAAATGTGCCAGTGATAGAATTATCTTATCTACCCCTGCACAAAAATTAACACTTTCTAACGAAATACTGAGCAGAATGTTCCGCTTATATAGGTATACTATGATAGAGTAATGATATCAATTTCTAGAATTAATCACAAGAGAGTTTATGAGACATAAACAAATTACTAACAAAGGAAGATTAATTGAACAATCAACGCCATAGAAACAAGTAACAGTAACTTTTATATTATTATGAACTTTTCTGTAAAAAGTTGTTGGGCTTTTTTTATTCATGCTTTAGTTATAACTAAAAAACTATTTCAATCACAAAATGTTAAAGTTACAGACTGATTACTAGGAATTGCCAAAATTTTCAAAAAATTCCTTTTAAATTTTATGGACTATACTCATCAACTATTAAAAAAGTATTGTCATGTAACTCTATTATAAGTAATTCTCATCCCTGTTAGATATTATATTGAACCTGAACAATGTCGCTGATGAAATTCATCATCCCACTATTGGTTTCTTAAAAACAGTTTTCGAAAGCTAAGTAAAAAAATTCTAATTTAATGTCTAAAAAATTCTAAATTTAATGTTTTGCAAAAAGCAAAATATGCTAATTAAATAGCTATGGTAAATGCTAAAAATTTGAGAGAATAAAAATTTAAGAATTCTAATTTGATGTCTAAAAAATTCTAAATTTAATGTTTTGAAAAAAGCAAAATATGCTAATTAAATAGCTATGGTAAATGCTAAAAATTTGAGAGAATACAAATTTAAGAAATCAACAGTTATACACAAAAATTACAAACATAAGTTTCACAAGCAATAAAAAAAGGAATGGTGTTTAAAAAAAAGGACGTCTTGTTATGTAAATTCTGCATGAATTTATATACATAAATTTTTAAAAGTATTTTTGAAATAAGTTATTAATTAAATACAAACCTCGAAAAACTAGAATACTCACCAGGTTTTACTTCTTTGAAGACAGCTCTACTGGATGCTAAGACAGCATTGTAGATAAGTTTCTGATCTTTTCTAAATTTGCCATTTGCGGGAAATGAGCAGGTAATATCAGAGGCATAGCAATAATACTCTCCTCCCATGTCAAAAAGACTAAAACATTAAAAACTAAATATAATTACAGCAAAAGCAAGTAACACATTATCAAATGAGTGTGAGTCACCTATGACAAAATACAGTGGAAACCAGGACTCGAAAAAACTCAGAAATTTTACCCGTCCCTGAGGACGGCTTGTCCAACAATGCACCCGTCCTCCGTTGAAACTAACCCGTCGCTTTTAAATAAATAAAAATATAATTTTCTCCTATTTATAACAAACATTTATATAAATTGCACAATGAATTAGTCGTTACTAGGATCACATTTTACAGTAATAAAAGAAATACTAGGTTACTGATAGTAACCTAGTATTTCTTTTATGAAATAATTTAAATGACAAGGGTCAAGTTATCTGGAATGTCAAGTTATCCGAGGGTACTGCGTTTCTTAAATGAATCAAATATGACGTATGCCAGTTCCACAATCAAGCCAATGATTTACAGAGGCTTCTAAACAGAAATCTGAAAGGGGTTTTCCATTTAGGTAGATGTTCATAATTGCTTTTAAAGCTTCTTGTTTAAGACAAGTACGTATTGTGTTTTTTTGTAAGTTTATTGCTGCAAAGCGCCTTTCAACCGCTGCAGTACTCCCAGACAGAGAAAACATCAATATATGCGCAGTGTGTTGCTGTATTGTGGGTCATTTGCCTTGTAACTTACAAGACTCTTGTAAGATAATAAAAATTGAAAATGTATCACGAACATTAATGGGAGAATGGCCGTCCGCGCGGACGTCGGATTCGAGAAATTCATTGTCCGCGGAGAATTTTTGACTGTCGAGGACGGGCTGTTTTTCGAGCCCTGGCTGAAACACTATAATCTGAACTCATTAGAACTGAAACTCTATAATGAAACTCATTACCCAAGAAGAATGACTTTAAATTAATCTTGAATTTTATATTGAACTAAATTATAAATACCCAAGAATTTATAAAAATAAAAGGCAAATAAAGAAATTACCACATATCTCCATCTTCCACAGTCTTATCATTAGGGGCACCAGCATGACCGTAATGCAATGTTGCTCCATTATTTCCACTGAAAACAAAAGTGTACAAAATGAGCTAATGTACTTAAAAGACGTGGATAAATGCATTGAATGGAAATTTATTAATATTACAATAACAATACTAAAATATAAATATAAAGACATAAATAATAAACATATAAATAATACATATATAAATATTAAAATTTTAACAAAGTACAAAAGAATTTGGTAATTTTTTCAATTGAAATATTCATGCAGCAGTCTCAACTCAATTTGATTGCTTTAGTTATAATATTACTTAGAAACAATATTATAACTAAAATACTCAATATTTCTAATTTAAATGTTAACAGTTATTACCTAATTATTAAAAGCTAATTATACAATAAATAAAATGATAGTTGTTTTTAATCAAGCTTAACATTCTCCATAATTTGTAAAGACAAAGATCAAATTCAAAAGCAAGATATAAAATTACTTACATTTGTAACTATAAAAAAATTGATTATTCTAAATTACTTTATTTTAAACTTTATTACATAAATTGCGAAATAGCGCAATCACGCAACCACATGGATTTATTTGTTGCTTTTTTTTAAATTGATGTTAATTATTGTCTATTTGTTATTTTTCATTGAATTATTATGTTTTGATATTTATTTACCTTAAAGACCTATAATCCGGAAAGATCTATTTTCCGGACTTGTCGAAGTCCAGACAATTTCGGATATGGGACTTTCCACTGTATTTATATTATGGGTAAATAGTTTTTAAAATATATATATCAATTGAAACTGGTTTATTTGTTCTAGCCCCATTATTTCAATTAAAATTAGTTTTGGAAAAATAATTTCACACTCATATTTCTTTTAAAGGAAAAAAATTCATATAATAAGCAAGTTACACAAAATACATATACAATTATAATTCAGTTTTTAAAATCGAATTTACAAAAAAGATTACCTTCCACATATGCACGTGTAAGACACATGACGAGCTCCTCCATTTCGATAACAATGATGTTTAAAGATACTGAAAAAGAAATAGTTAATTTACAAAAATGTAGTACATTAAGTAATAATAAATCAATATTACTTCTACACATTAATCAATGGAGAATTAAATGAATAACTTTCCGTTTTTAATCAAATAACTACTTGAATATTTTGGATTTCATTTTATTCATTGAAATGTCTTCTATTGGAACTTGTTTCTAAATTTTAAGGTTGTAAATAATTTGAAAAAAATTTAAAGGTTTTCAGAGTTTAAAGGAAATTATGATCTTAAAAGTGTGTACCTAAATTCAATATCAAACATTTCAATGAATATAATATTTAAATATATTTCAAAATATTAATTAATTACTCAATAAGTAAAGAAAAAGAGTTTACATAGAATGATATGGCGGAATTCCAATTCTGTAAAGGACAGAACTTTTAAGAGTTTAAACAAACTTCTTGCAAACATATATTTGCACATTTAAAAGCAGATTTATTAAGAATTTATTATAAAAAGTGCATGAGCTAGACAAATATATTTTGTTATACAGCTTTTAATATTAAATAAGAAGGAAACTTTTATGCATTAAAACTAGATAAAAATATATTTTAAAAAATTTTTTGTCCTCGTTATTAATTAATTTAATTCTGCCACACCTAGAAATTGACAGTATACTATTTAAAAAGCTAAGAAAGCGATCTTATTAACTGATATTACAGAAAATTTAGCATAAGTTAAATTATGTAAAAAAAATTATAAACTGATTTGATATTCTTCAAATCTTATAACCATACAATCTATGATACTTTCTACAAAAATAAAACAGTTTCATTAAATGTAAAGTTTAATGTAACAAGAGCAGAAGACAACTAAGTATAAAGTGCAAATAAACAGTAATACTTAACGTACATATAAAATAAAATAAAAAATATGGTTCATTGTCAGACAACTCTCTGTTGTCTCTGTTCTCTCTCTCAACATGTCTCTATTTTTCTTCAAAGATTTTAAAATGATGAGTATGAAATAAGATTTACAAAATTTTGTACAAAGCTAAAACAAAAATAATTTTTTTTTCTATTTCTCTTTTTTGTTTTTCTTTACTAGGTAATGAGTTTTATAAACTTATTTTTTAAACTTTAAAAGCTATTATTTAGTGTGCCTTTTTTTAGATTTATAATTTTTGGACAATTATTATTCAGTAATTTTATTAATTTTTTAAAATTTGCTTTTATAAGATGTATCCCTGATGAACTTTAGATAAAATGAAGAGCTCGCCATTATTTTTTTTTTTTTAAATATGTTATTATGAAAAATAAATAAGGTTTAAATCAAACTCCTATATTTTAAAAAATTCAAAAAAAAGAAAGAAAAAAAAGGCAAATTACCTTAAAAAAGATGGTAAAACTAGTCACATACTTAGAAAAGTAGATAAAATTAAAAACTTTACTCATCTTTTAGCCAAAGTAGTTAATAAAATCCTCTTTAACCCTCTATAAAGCTAGGGGATGTATACTTTACCCCAACTTCATTAATTTTAATATGAAGATGAAAAACTATTCTAAAATCTATGATTTATGCAATCATCTGCAAATAGCTTCATAAAATACTCCCTTTAACCATTTATAAAGCTGGGGGAAGTATACTTTGCCCTAATTTCATATGAAGAACAGAAGCTATTTTATCACCTACAATTTGTGCAATCATCTGCAAATAACTTCATAAATGTGGATAACAAACAGCAAAGGTCAGTGTAGAGTTTTAAAGAAGGAAAAACAACAATGGGGAGTTATTTTTTCTTGAGTGTTATTCATTCAATCATTTGCTAATTTCTCCTCAAGCTGATTTATTTTTATACATTACTGATTTCAATAGTAAATTTAATTTTTTTTGTTGCTAATTTTATAACTAAATGATGAATACTAATTGGTTTCAGAATTAACTAATTAACACCTATATAGATCAACAATACATAGTAAGCATATATTCAGATATAAAATATTCATTACCTTTCTAACTGGTATTCCTTCATTCCTGGTCTAATTTCTTGCATTACCTGTCAGAGAGTATGAAGAAATGTAACTAAATTATCAGTTTATCATTTACTATTGAATTAGATCTTCCGTATTCAGATTGATCCTAAAAGATGTTATTAATAAATATATATGGGCAAATCTCAGGAATCATTAATCGAATTCGATTTATTCTCTAGGTTGTCCAAACCGTAACCCTGTCAAACCGTAACCTCAGGATTAATTAATTGAATTTAACATAATAAGGTCATTAAAATTTTCGATGTTCATGATTATTTTCTGATATTTCATACATTTTCAAACAATTCTAGGGGCATAAAAATAGTGTGGCTATTATTTTTTATTAATTTTTTTTTATTAACAAAAGTTAAAGGTTTTAGAGATCTGCACATATATAGTTATAACATTTATAATATTGCAGATAATTCTCTGGATTTCAAAGATTAGCAAAAACACATACAATATAAACATTTAAAATATGAAGATATGTAAATAAAAAATAATAGCCAACGAATTGAGAGCCACATTCATTTTTAAAGGAAATCCTCCTCATATGTTACATAGATCACAGAGTTGCCACTCAAATCTGGAGAAAAAAATTCCTTGTGTTTTCCACATACATATTATACACAATATATTAAGAGGAAAAACCCAGTCACTGTGCTCTTGTATGCGCTGATTAGTTATAATTGTTGAAAAAACTTAAGGAAAAAAAAGGAACATACTTAAAACAAATAATGCTATAGTAAATAAACTAACTTAATGTAGCTGAAATATCATCCTTAAATATCCAATAGATAGCAATTTGAGTGGTTACCATTTTTTAAAAGACAAAAATTAGAAACAAAATTCCCTGTATTTTTCCAATTTCTAAAGAAAAACTTCAAACTCCCTGTTATTTTAGGTGATTTTTAAATTCATTGTGTTTTCCAGGTTACCGCTGTGGAGTGCAACTCTGGATTGGGTTGAACACTGCTGCATAATGGGGTATAGCAATGTGAAGTGTACTACAGTACAGAACCCGTTATCCGGAAATCAGAAAACCGGAAAACCAAAAAACCGGAACGAAATTCGATAAATTTTTTCGAAATTTTTTTTTTTAAATTTTTTTTCCTCATAAGATTTTACGATTTTTCTTTCTTTTTTTAAAGATGTTTACCTTACCATCATTTTGGAAATAATCATTAGTGTATTACTTCATCGTTTTTTCTTATTTTTAAGATTAGTTCCAAAATTTTTTTTTTAGTTGGGTTTAACAATGAAAAAAACGGCTTTTTGTAGCGATTCAGAAAACCGGAAAAATCAGTTATCCGGAATAGCAATTGTCCCGACCGTTCCGGATAATCGGTTTCCTACTGTATTAACAGATTGAAATAAATAAAAATTAAGAACATTTTTAAAAAAAATTTTCTAATAAATTACTTAAAATAATGTAATTTTTTAGTTTTATATCATACTAATGGGCTATGCCCCCTGTTCGCTGATGCTTTCCAATCCCCGAAGATTGCTATACAATCTTATGTAGTTTGCTTTGCAAACTATGCTTGCTTCACTCACTAAGCTAAATCTATTTGAATTGTGTTTGAGCATAAATTATTAACAATTTGAATTAAGTATTAAAATCTTAAAAACTAATTCCTTTTTAAAGATAGAAATTTTTAGTCAATAATAAGTCAAAATGAAAATGTGGTCGTGCAAGCTGGATGCGAGATTCGTATTGACTAGCTATTGTTGGGATTTGAACCCGGTTCACCTCATTGGAAGGAGAACGCTCTATCCCCTGAGCCACCACGCCTCAAGGGGAGGCCCATATTTGTATGCAGTATATAAGCAACTATTTGTTGCTTATATGTTGATACATAAAAGCTATAAGCTATGTTGATACATATAAGCAACAATTTGTTGCTTATATGTATCAACATAGATATGATTACATATAATCAGTATATATGATTACATAATATCATACATATAATCAACAAAGAAATGATTTCTGACTCTTGCCAGGATAAAAAAGTTTTAGAAGAGTTCCAGAATGAAAATTTTAGAGGAAGGAGTGAAAGTGATTAAAATGTCAACTAAGAGTAAAGTAGATAAACTTAATTGTTCTGATCTATGAAAATCTGAGATCAACCACATTAAAGCTGTACATCAACAGGCAAAATATGCATACCAGAAAATGGAAAGGAAAAACAATTCAAATTACTCAACAACAAAAAACACCAATTATATGCATTTCTGTACCTTTTATTAATCCTTAATCTGTTTTAATGCTTTTTGCTTTTCTATCTCTTTAATGGCATTCAGACAAAGTATAAGGAGCAAAATGATGTGTCGAAAACAACAGAAAATGGAAGAACTAAACAAGAACGATATATTATATCCTAAACTGGGAGCACAAAATATCATATTGAACAATATTGTGCCGAAAATAGATGACGAGTTTTTATGAGAAAGTTTAATAAAAATGAACTCACCACTTTGTGTGCATCACTGCTCAATTTGTTAACATATCGAAGAACTTCTAGTTCAAGTGGAGTTTTAATGACTCGACTAAATAAGAAAATATTTAGGCACTTAATTAATTGTGAATTATGTAACAAAAATAAATTAAACACTAATTATTATACTATTACCTTAAAATAATGATAACCTTACAATTCATTTTACAATGCAAAGTGCAATCAATCTTGACATAATTAATAAATTTTAAGGCAAATTAGTACATTTTCTAAATTTTAAATTCACAGAAAATTCTAAGTACTAAAACAAAAAAATTACTTTTTTTTTCCATTTTAAAAAATATGCCAAACAAAAATGTGATTTTACAAATTGGTGTGAATGATATTAAAAGATAGTTTTATTTAGTTTTCATCAAGTTTTTTTAATTTTTAACAAATTGCACCCTAATTAACTATTTATTAGAAAGAATATTGCTTATTTTATTTTGTTAACTATTAAGCATTGTTTGATATTAAGCATTATACTGATATATAATAATAAAATAGATTGTCATTTTTATATTCCCACCTTTTTTTAAAATTTATTTAAATTGTTACGATAATAAATAATATTTTCCACTTTCCTTTGTTATGAGCCCAATTTAAAAACAAAATAAAAAAAAAATGCTTCCTCAATTGATGTCACATTAAATTTCAATATGGGCGAAAAGTTTAAACTTCCTTGTCCTAGACCTTGTTAACATAATTCATATTTACTATAGCCTTAAAAACAATACATAATCTTTATTTTTATTGAGGAAATTGTGGCACAAAAATATTACCCTACATTTATAACTGCAGCCAAAATTTTGATAACCTAAAAAAAAATCCCTAAAAATGCTCCTAAAATTAAAAAAAATACATAAATACTTTATTCAAAGGAAATTTTCCAATATCAAGGCTATTTTTATTTAAATTTCCTTAGTAAGAATTTCTTTCTTAAATATATATAATTTTTTAAAATATGTATATTTATCAAAATCAAGAAACAAATCTAAAGTGGGGAAAAAGACTCTAGCATGCAAAAAAAATTTATCTAAAATGTAAAAACGTTCTAAACCTTGAAAAAATTCATTAATTTATATACCAACGCTACCAAAATCTGATTCTTTAATCATTATATCATTTAAATTTTCAATGACTCTTTATTTAAAAATTCTATCATTCATATTTAACACTTTCTAATAATTAATTCTATACATACCATTCGACCATTCTTGGGTAAAGACTTGTATTATCGACTTTAAAACTGAAAAAGAAGGGGGGAAATTATTAATTTTGAGTATAAACATACTTTTAAATACTCTATAACCACAGTTCCTAACCCATGAGCTACAACCCTCAAGTAAACTTCGAGCTGTGAGTGAACTCGGGTCAGGAGTCCTTTTATTCACTTGATTTTAACTAAGTGAATACAATATTTTCTTCTCAGAAGAAATATTTCTTAATTCTTCTTGCACAATATTTTTTACACATTACTTGATAGCATATGTGTATATTTTATAGAAGAAGAAAGAAGACAGGTGCAAGAAGATATGAGCCTTATGTGCAACCAGGCACAAAATAGGATAAGTAAGTAAGTAAATACATATATAAATATACAATCAAACCCACTATAGTGAACTATCTGCAGACCCAGCAAGAAGCTCACTATAAATGATAGTTCATTAAGTCCAAAATAATTGAAATTTCCAACACAAAGTTGGCTTTGTTGTTACGGATTCTTTTAAATCTGATAATTTGAGAAATAATACCTCTTAGTACCTTGGCACTGATAAAACTGAAATTGTTTTGCAGGCTGAGTACCTCAAATCTGAAGTCTTTGCGTTTATCGCATACAGAGATTCGTGGTTTGCAGGCTCATGGCCCAAAACTATGTGTAAATCTAAAACGTTTACTAAACGTTTTAGATTTTTATTTATTTATGTATGTATATATATAAGTTCAAAATGAAGATAAAACAAAGGAAAATTACAGACATATGAAGAAAAAAAGGGGGGAAGAAAAATAATAATAAAGAATAACAAACAACTTTGAAAGAAAAAAAAAGATGAAAAAAAAAGGATAAAATTTTTTTTTAAAATCCGGAAAATAAAAGATATAATCTTTTCATCAGCCCACACATTTATATCCGCAAAAAAGAGTGCTTTCTGATATTGTATCAATATAGCCAAAACAAAATATATCAATACAATAGTGTTGAAGAGCACTCAAACAATTTTTTACAAAAATTACAACAAATAAAATAGAACACAATAAGTAAAAATAACACGCAAAAACAGAAAATAAAATAAAATAAAAAGAAAAAAGAGAATAAAACATAATCTATAATTCCAATTCCAGCGAATTCCAATGTACTAACATGAATGGGAAATTTTTCAAGAATGATTTAAAATATTTTGGTAACAAGGTTGCCAGATTGCAAAATATGAAAACAAAAGCGCAAATTGAGCGTGACTAAAGGAGTTTTGTTTTAAAGTGCCGTTCTTACTGCATTGCTGAAGTGTGTTTGATTTGCTAGCTACCAAGGATGGGCCCGAAAATGGATGTGCGTAAATATAAGTGCCATAAATAATTTTAGAAAATAAATATTTATTTAAGAAAAAAATAGAAAATAGCAAAGGGAAACATGAATTGCCTGTTTTGCATGTAATTTTAGCCACGGTTTTGCCCGAAATGGATTTGCACATGGAAAAATTAAATCAATTAACAAAGAAATCTTTTTAGTAAATAATTTTAGCCACGGATTTGCCCGAAATGGATTTGCACATGGAACAATTGTATAAATTAACAAAGAAATTTATTAGCAAATAATTTTAACC